GGGTCGAGGCTAGTTTGAAAATGTACTGAGAGAAGCAAATAACTTTGACGGCCATTATGGACATCAGGCTTTTGCAAACCGTAAAAGCATAGCCGTATTGGCTAAAGTGAATGATTACCTTAGCACGGCAGGTATTGTGCAGATTAGGCTAAAATGGTGTCCTAAATAATATGAACGTCCGTTGACAGTCTCGTCACGATCTTCTTTTATTTCATACGATGTTAGAGCTTTTTACTAATCCAGTTCTTCCACGTAAATCGGATTTATCTCTTAAAAAGCAAAACGATCGAATCGATAATGTAAGCAGACTTCCACTAGACATGTCAGTGAGTAAAGGAGTAAACATATTTTCCCTCGAGTTCTTTCTCGAACACATTGTGCAGTTCTGTATAGGTACCGGTCAATGGTAGCTAGACGATCCCAAACTGCTTCCCAACGGGTAGCGCGCAAGCAGGTAAATCACATAACTTTGAATGGCCGAAAAGGAAGAAATAACCTTTCGGCACTCAACGGACGCGTAGAAGGCGTTCTCCCGCGCCCCCCCTTCCATCGAGACACACGTTGCGTTGGTTTGTTCTGATTTCGTATTGCCGCTTAACGTTTGCTGCCGTGTACACCACTTTGTTAAAGGCGTACTATGTCGTTCCTTTCTTCAGCGACTTCTCATTTCCTCTTCTTTTTTTGGCTGCTCGAAGTCTCATTGACAGCTTCATCAGGGTTGGATTGCGTTGGTGATATCTGTATCATAAGCTGAAGGGACGCTTCTCCTCCAAACCACCTTCCATTTCCCTGATCCGAGAGAAAAATTGGCGTGCTAGATGGTGTGCGATGATTATCAAGAGCCGTCCATTCGACCTTGTTTCCAAGCCCAGCTCAGAGTCTGTGAGAAAAGGTATAGGAGACATGGCACGGTGATGAGAGGCTTAAACTATGAGTATATAGCAAAAATAGATCAGAACTGAGCCTTTGAGTCTAGTTTGAGCAGAAACCAGATCAAACATGGTCGGCATTACAAATGCTGCTTTCAGCGCTGTCCATTCCTGGCTCAGAAGCACCGCTCCAAACTGCCGGGATCATATAATCGTGATGGGCACCTGCTTTGTAGCTTCCGCTAGATATCTGTCAAGGACACATCCTATTTGAAAACTGTCGTTGCTGTAAAATTACAACTAAGTACGAGTTAAAGACTCAGTTATTCACACATATTTACACCTTTATTTTGTTATGTCGGCAAACCAAAGTCCAATAGCAGGAGAAACGCTACTTAATTCCTTAAATTATAGATATCATTACGATGACTCCGAATTTTCGCTGTGATTATATGGGTACAATCTTTATGAGGGTATAGTTTCCAAGGGCTGTAAGGCAATGACGTAGTGGCTTAGCACCTCCGACGGACCAGGTTCTGGATTCCGAGGGATTCTTTCCAAATCTTGCTTGAACTCAATTCCAATATATAGCATGGTTCCATTTGCCTCTAGTATGGGCAAATTGTCGTTGACCGCCTCGTTTTACTCAGTCTTTCCTAATGTATAACGCCTTTCCAGTTCTACCAAATACAAATAACGACGTTTTTTTTGGTGGAACTCTGATTTAGCTATGAACAAAAACGTGTCTTCCGAAGCGACCCATTTCTTTCCTTACCACAGGTCGATTTGAAGATATCACTTCTCGTCGCCTGCAAGATGTGTGCGTCGAGGTATATTATAGTGGATGAGCGTCGCGCCACTTCCTGCTCTTTTGCTGCAGGACAATGAGAAGTCATGTTGCCTTTGTACTCTTTACCGTATGTTCGAGATATCCAAGCTTCTGGATAGTGATAAAATTTCACAGATTATGTAATTTCGAAAGTAATGACGTATTCATGGTTTATGTTCTGGGCCGATAAACAACTGGTTGCCATCCGAGGCCCTCATCGATGTTAAATGGCCAGCTCAAATGAAGCGCATTCTCTAGATTTAAAGTATGTCTTTATTTCAACAAGGTAGTTTGAAGCACTCCTCTCAATTGCAGAGTCTTTTATCGCTGTTATTCTCAATTATAGAGAGTACGCGGCGCATAAGCCCTTAACTATTTATGTGATAGTTTGTCGACTCCAACAAAAGGCGAAGTTTATAACAGAATGCAATTGCAATAGGCCTATAAAGGACAGTAGGAGCTTCTCAATAGTAAGTACTAATAAACACTCGTTATTAATTTCTCAAATGTTTGTCCTATTCTTCCAATAATAGCAGTTTTTGCATATGGTTGATTTTTGATACTGGCCGAATCTCTTGCAGACTGGATCATTCAGTCGTTGGTAATTGCGACAAAGGTGTAACTCCTTTAATTTTGATTTCACATATTCTCTTTTCAAATGAAAGTTAGTCAGACCTGTGATTAAATTCAATGATGAAACTATTTACAGTTTTTTAATACTACAGTGCCAGTTAAAGTGGGTCATGCTTCAACGGACATAAAGAAACAGTCACGAGCGGGTCCTTCTTGTAAGTAAAAACATTTCAGGGAATCGGCTTTGTTAATCACAGGTCTGACTAACTTTCATTTGAAAAGAGAATATGTGAAATCAAAATTAAAGGAGTTACACCTTTGTCGCAATTACCAACGACTGAATGATCCAGTCTGCAAGAGATTCGGCCAGTATCAAAAATCAACCATATGCAAAAACTGCTATTATTGGAAGAATAGGACAAACATTTGAGAAATTAATAACGAGTGTTTATTAGTACTTACTATTGAGAAGCTCCTACTGTCCTTTATAGGCCTATTGCAATTGCATTCTGTTATAAACTTCGCCTTTTGTTGGAGTCGACAAACTATCACATAAATAGTTAAGGGCTTATGCGCCGCGTACTCTCTATAATTGAGAATAACAGCGATAAAAGACTCTGCAATTGAGAGGAGTGCTTCAAACTACCTTGTTGAAATAAAGACATACTTTAAATCTAGAGAATGCGCTTCATTTGAGCTGGCCATTTAACATCGATGAGGGCCTCGGATGGCAACCAGTTGTTTATCGGCCCAGAACATAAACCATGAATACGTCATTACTTTCGAAATTACATAATCTGTGAAATTTTA